CAGAATCACCTCCCTCGACCTGCTGGCCACACTTCTGATATAGCCCAGGCTGGCTTTCTGGGCTGCCAGCGCATGCAGCTGTCTCGTGTCCAGCTTTTCATCCACCAGTACCCCCAAGTCCTTCTCCTCGGAGCTGCTCTCTATCCACTCTCCACCCAGCCTGTCCTTCTGCTGGGATTGCCCCAACCCAGGTGCAGGACCTTGCACTTGGCCTTGTTGAACTCCATGAGGTTGGCAGTGGCCCACCTCTGCAGCCTGTCCAGGTCCCTCTGGATGGCATCCCTTCCCTCCAGCGTGTCGACCGCGCCACACAGCTTGGTGTCGTCAGCAAACTTGCTGAGGGTGCACTCAATGCCATCATCCATGTCACCGACAAAGATGTTAAACAGCACAGGCCCCAACATGGACCCCTGAGGAACGCTGTTCGTTCCTGGCTCCATTCATCTGTTGTGTCGTGGTCCACTGTGTAGCAATGTAAACTGTCTTTAAAAATATGAGTTACAGAGGACAAAGAAATGGCTGAGAGAAGCTGCTGTTGATGGTACACATTACAGGGCTTCTTCAGGCGTACTGGTGATGTCAGAAGTCAGCAAAGTGTCCTCTCAATTTTGTTTCCTAAAATACAGATTCAGATTAATTATCTTATAACTGAACTCTCAGAGTGATGGTGACTTCCTCCAAAGGGTTCAAACCTCAGTTAATACTGTCATTGACTTATGAATGACCTAAGTGACTTGGATAGTCCTTCTTTCAATTTTTTTACTTGCTTGTTTTTTTTCAGAATTTTCAGCTGCAGATGTTACTGACAGTATTTGCTCTCTGTTTTGGGTGAGCGAGATGGGAACACGGAAATCCCATTTTTCATGTTCCCCAGCTGCACAGCCAGCGTATTATAGTTCCACCTGTGTTGGCAGGGATTTCCTGTTTTAGAAGATTAATTTTGTTGAGTAACTCTTGAGTTCCTCTAAAAGAAACGATTTTCCTTTCCTGTATGGCAAGGGAGATTGCAATCTTATGAGGCTGTAAACTTGTTTATACCTCGCAATAAAGCAGTTGGTACCATTTAGAGATACACAACTGTCTGTTTTCAGTTCTGTTCTGTTGCATGGATGTAAATCTGAGTAGCTGCTATGGCTTCCTTTACTTCTTTTAGAGGTGGTTGTCCTTGTAGCCAGTTTTTCATCCTGCTAAAAGTTTGCCTCTCACTATCTCTTCTTTCCAAGTCAAAAGTCGCTGTCTGTATTTTATTACATTTCAGAGAACGACTGCCCTGGTTGGCTTCAAAACTTTAATTCAGCAAGTGCATAAAAGTGGTTTCTGACATAGCTGCCCAGTTTGGATGGCCTGAAGTATTCGTGTGAAAATGTTTTTCACTTGTTTTCTTTCTTTCTTTCTTTTTCCTTTTCTTTCTTCTTTCCCTCCCATTCTGCTGGCTGACTGGCCAGCACTTCTGCCTCACCCTCTTATCTGGGCCTGGTCTAATTCCAAAAATGAAAGGCTGAGGAAATGGCCTTCTTCCTAGGCAATTTTGCCTCTGACAGTGTTTCTCGTTTGTGTCTACTGCGTTAAATTAGCGTAGTTCCTCCCTTGTTATGAAGTATGGTTGAACATAGCTTGCCTAAGAGGGCTAGATTCTGGCTTTGTACTCCTTTTGTCGGGGTGCCGTTTGGTTTGGGCGCACGTGCGCCGCTTGTCCTCGTCCCCTAGAGATGGGCAGAACGGCCGTACAGTCAGCCCTGTGGTGCCGGCCACGGAGGAGGCTGAAGGAGCTGGTGGTGGCTGTGTTCCCCCGAGACGGTCACTTTTCATAGCAGGCTGCGGATGGAAGAAGGCAGCACCAAGGCCTTCTGCTCCAAACCAGGTCTGGTGAATCAGGTCTGTGAAAACGGGAGCTAGCAGACAGATGAGACACCTGCAAGATGGAGCAGCGGGGACATAGGCTGGGCTTGTTTTCTGGAACACATCACGATGATAAGTGAGCCAGGAAGAAGGCTCTTTCCACGTGGTTCTGCCTGAAGCTGTTTCTTTACCTCTAAAATGCAAGAATTGAAGAGTCTTACTGCAGTTACTGGCAGGCAGTTACAGGGAGCCACAGGCAGGTTGGTTAAGATAAAAAAACTGACCTGGAAACCCTGTAGCAGAGCTGAGGACTTCAGATGTGCCCTGAGAAGGCAGCCTTGGCCCTCAGGATTTCTGGCACAGCTGTGTAGTTATGGTTTCTGCATGTGGCCTACAACCAAAATAATCAAAAATAATCCTAGGTGGTTTATTATCCTAGTCAGCATCTGTTTCTGACTTCTACCAGTGTAGTTTGATCACTTCGCTTATTTAAACTGGGAACACTCAGGACAGGTAACACCATAATTTTAAGCAGTTTTAGGTTTTGTTGTTTGTTTTTGTTTTTTCCTCCTGTGCTTTTTATTAATGGCTTGTTTGGGCGAGGGAAGAAAGGGAAGGTCTTTTCCCGTGCCAGACTTCCAAAATGTCAGTACTTGGTGCATCACATCACTGAATCCAACATGTGATTACAAGTGAACATGGAGTCAAGATGAAGGAGGATGGTAAAAGTGGAGAGGCAAGGGACAAGAAGGGGTAGAAGGAGTTAAAAATAAATAAAGGGAACAGTGTATCATCCAAAAAGAATAGGAGAATGTGGGTAAAAGGGAAGGAGTTCATGAGGGACATTGAGATTTTTAACCATGTTTCTAATTTAGGCCCAAGCTATAAAAATATCTGTATTCATGTATCTCTCACATGACCTGCTTTGAAGGCTAGCAAGGTTTTCCATGAGGTATGTTCCTCTCTCTGGCCTGTCATACTCAATCTTTCAAAATAGTTAAAATTCAGCAGCAGCTCTAAGAAGATGTTTGAACTGGTCTCCTCATTTTGCCCTAGCATCCAGAACCAGCACCCCAGTCGGTGAGTAATGAAAGCTGTAACAAGCAACTTGGTCTGCGTGTGCCATGGACACATAACTGACTGGAGATGGCAGGGCAGCAGAGTGAGATGTTGTCCCGTCATATTTTCAACAGATCTCATCAAGGTCAGATCCAGCGCTGCTGATTTGAGATTAAGAAAGTAATTCCTAACAAACACTTGAGAAATACTGTTCAAGAGGGGTAGTCTGCCCCCACCCTCACCCCCCCGCCTCCACTCTATGTCTAGGTGGAATTTTGGCCATAAACCAGACTTTTGTGTGTTTTTTTCACTGGGTACTTCATAGAATCATAGAATAGTTCATGTTGGAAGGGACCTTAAAGAGCATCTAGTTCCAACCCCCCTGCCATGGGCAGGGACACCTTCCACTAGACTAGGTTGCTCCAAGCCTCATCCAGCCTGGCCTTGGACACTTCCAGGGATGGGGCACCCACAGCTTCTCTGGGCAACCTGTCCCAGTGCCTCACCACCCTCTCCAGGAAGAACTTCTTCCTGATATCCAATCTAAACCTCCCCACTTTCAATTTAAACCCATTACCCCTTGTCCTGTCACTACAGACCCTTGTAAAAAGTCCCCCCCAGCTTCCTTGTAGCCCCTTCAGGTACTGGAAAGCTGCTACAGTTGGGTTTTGTTTGTTTTATTTTTGTTGTTCTTTTTTTTTTTTTTTTAACTGAATTCATTACCTATGCCAAACTCAGTTAACAAAACAAACAGCACATGAGAAAACTTTCAGACTATTCAAACAGCATTAACCTTGTATAAAATATATTTCTCTTAAACTTTCCTTTCTACCTTCCTTCACTTCAGAGTGCCAGAAATGAGACACACACATCTGGTAATGTAATCCCTAATGGCAGATATTGCTGCTGTAGGAGATACTGGCCTGCATTTGACCATCAGCTTCTAGCTATCATTTTATTGGTAGTAGGTATGCATGTCCACTACAGACTTTCAAATAATTTTATAAGACATTAGAAAAATACACTCAACATTTGTTGCAGAACCTTCCTATATTCACCCTGTCATACATGAACCTTACAGAATGCTTTAGAACCATTTATTAGCGGCAAAAATACCAAGCTCTGTGCAAGGTCTTGACGTGAACATACAACCTGGTATTGTGTGATCTTGAAGGGGGTTTCAGGTTTACAGCTGGATATGTTCACAAGTAAACCCAATAAATCCTCCATACCATGTTCATATGAGAAGCCATGGACACACAGACCTTCCTCGGTTTCATCATTCTGAAGCCTGAAGAAGAGCTGGTGATGTGAACAGTAAACGACAGTCGGATCAAATAAGTGCAGTAGAACAAACACCGTATTTTCTTGTCATATTTTCTTGTAAAAATAAGTCTTGTCACTTATTTTGCAACGAGCTGTTTAGAAAAAAATAAAAGAAGTAGTTTTTAAAATTTTTCTCCAAGGACAAGAAATAGATAGAAGTTTCTGATAGAATTTTTTAAAAATGTTTCTTTAAAATGCTATTTTTGATCCAGACACCACGGCTATCACTGTCGAGTCACTGGCTTACAGTCAGAGGGGGCAGAGGCTTTCCATAGAAATCTCTTCATCTGGCTTTTCTTTGTTGCCTTCTCCATCTGTGCCCGCATGGTGCGGCTCAAGTTCTCCGAGTCGACTAAGTGTGGAAGTTCCCCAGGCAACTAAGGGAAAATGAAGACAGTCAAGAGATGCCATGGCTGCACTTGGTTCTCGTGAAAGGCACAGAAGCCAGTTCTGTGGCAGAAGAGCTGCTGGTGGTGTAAGGTGGGTGGCTACAGTGTCCTCACCATTAAGAGGTTCTACTCTGTGGCCCCTTCTTAATCTTAGTTTTCGATTTTTTTTCTTTCTGTTTCCCAAGTCATGGCATTCTGAGGTTTGCCGTTCATTCTCTTCATGCTGTAAAAGCTGCAGCGTTGCAGAATTGCATGCTTCTAGGCTACTATCATTTGTATTTTGGCTGTTGTTACTTGGAAAGTGCCGGGCATCCATTTGTTCCTGCACTGTTTTCAGAATCAAAACAACTGTAGCCTTTGCGGACTCCAAACTCTGCTGCTTGTCTTCTTCTTCAATTTGTTGTTCCTTCTGAGCGATTGGGCTGGAATGGTTTCCATTGTTCCCAGGCTCACAAGTCTTCCAGGGATTGAGTGTACCCTTAGCAAG